AAACAAGAGTAGATCAAGAGTACAAATATGGCTGTTGGAATTTGGCTTTAATTACTCACTTTAGCATTGTATGCTATCACATAATCTATGAAAATTAGAACTCTACTTTTGTGCTAAATTCTCTGGCTGTAACCACAGATATTCTTTACCTCTTTTTTCAATTTTATGGCAAAATATGTCAATTTCTGAGGTTTAGAAAGGATTTTGTACACCCGATTCTTTAGCTGGAAGCCTGAGAATAAACCAGATTAGATCAAGAGTACAAATTTGGCTGTTGGAATTTGGCTATAATTACTCACTTTAGCATAGTATGCTATCACATAATCTATGAAAATTAGAACTATACTTTTGTGTTAAATTCTGTGGCTGTAACCACAGAATTTCTTTTCCTCTTTTTCACTTTTATGGCAAAATATGGCAATTCGTGCAGTTTAGAAAGGATTCTTTAGCTGGAAGGCGGAGAATAATCCAGATTAGATCAAGAGTACAAATATGGCTTTTAGAATTACTCACTTTAGCCTAGTATGCTATCACATAATCTATGAAAATAACTGATTGTCTTATTCCTTTTAGAACTATACTTTTGTGCTAAATTCTCTGATGCCCGAGTTATAGTGCCTGGGGTGGGAAACGGGGCGGAACTTTCATGGCAAAATAAAGCAATTCGTGCAGTTTAGAAAGGATTCTTTAGCTGGAAGCTGGAGAATAAACCAGAGTAGATTTGCCCCATTCAGGTGTTATTGGCCAGTTACCTCTGACATGAACAGGCCAGGTCCTAATTCATGCAGATTTTATTGGAATGTGGCAACAAAGTGTGTGTGTGTGTGTGTTGACCTAAAGAATGTATGTACTGTAACAAAATAAAATCTGTGGGTACAGCCCGAGAGTTTAACACAAAAATATAGTTCTAAAAGTAATAAAACAATCAGTTATTGACATGGATTATGTGATAGCATACAATGCTAAAGTGAGTAACTATAACCCAATTTTAACAATTTCTTCCCAACTTGTGCCATGATAACACACTACACTGTTGGACATGGTGGAAGATTTAATTTCTGTTTGGAGACTTTCCAGCCATCCAAAGGAAAGAGATCCTCCATTTTATGTAAACTATCACGCCCATTGGATTTGAATAGATTCAGATTTGTGGCGTAAGAGGCCCTAGTGCAGTTTTTTTCAACCTTTTTTGAGCCAAGGTACATTTTTTCATAGAAAAAATTACGAGGCAAACCACCAACCAAAAATGTCAAACAAATCTGTAGCCGCCTATAATAACACTATAGTTATTCTTATTTTATTCTTATCTTAAGTGTCTTGAATAGGAATCAAATAAACACAAAAATTTATTTTTATCATATTTTATATTTCTTCTTTCAAATTGCACTTAACATGTCCACTTCAATATACAAAATGATATACAAAATCTAGTCATAAGGAATTATTACATGATTACTCCACCAGTCACTAGTACAGCACAGACACTCAAAAATGGCATATTATTTGCAGATAATTAATTCCTTATCAAAAATTATTTTTTGACCAATTAGGTGAAATAGGATGATTTTCTATGGCACACCTGACCATCATTTGCGGCACACTAGCGTGCCGAGGTGGTTGAAAAGCACTGGTTTAGAGCAGATTTCAGATTTTTCTACTTCTGGCTCCCTAGATTTGATGGCAGCAGCATTCAGGCTGGAACAGGTCCTGGTCTCCCCTCGTTTTTAGCACCAGTCTGTAAACATCTGGAGGCTGTGGCTGCCCAGCAGGCCTGGTTCTTCTTTGATGGATTGTGAAGGCTCTGGAACCCGGGTAGGAGGGTCCAACATCTGGACTGGAACAGATGCGGGACGAGGTTTTAACAGACGTCCTCTGGATGGGAGCAGATGCTGCTCGGAAAACTGGGTCTGCCTTTCGTTTCCGGATGTGCAGCTTCCTCATCCACTGGCAATGCCCACAACAGCAGATGCCGGCTATGGACTGAGAAGCAGAACTTCGGGTTCAGATCCGTCCAACCCGACGAACAGCTCCCGCTTTTCCTCAGTCCCTTTTAAACGAGCATTCATGGTCATTTATGTTGATTCAGAGAGCTTCCTGAGGGCCTGCGGGTCATAAACCTCCACTCACCTCACGGCCTGACCACAGAAATGCCTCCAGATTCGGTAAACTTATTCACATCGTGTTCTGTGGATAAGTCTGAGGTCTTACTTCTGAAATGGCTCCAGAAGTAGTGGAACCAGCTCTTTGCAGAAGGCTGAGTCTCTGCCTATCTGCACTGAAAAACTCAAACCTCCCAAAGGTGCTTTTTTGTGCTCTGAGATCTTCCTAAAGGTCAGATCTGCTGCAGATTAAATTCCGCTGCTAAGTGCAAAATCTACTAATTGGAGCCCCTCTGCTGATGTCCAATAAAATAGAACCGAAGCTACTCCCAAAACACCGTGATTAGCTGCAGTTCTTCAGCTTAATCAGGAACAACGACGTGTAGAAATGGACCGAACTGGCATTTGGAAGCTGCTTCAATCGTGTGTGAATAAAATCTCGA